TTAGCACGCGAACTCAATGCGCAATCATGCCACCACACCTCACAGCCACACAATCACACATACGAGCTCATTCAAGCATCAAACTACCCATCAAAATGTCACGATAACACTGAATAATTCTCGAGAGAGAGAAAAACCGAGAATATGTAAAATCGGGTCAAAACTGGGCAGTTTACACAGTGACCGAAATCCCAATAAAATAAATAGTAAAAGAACTCCAAAAATTCTAAATTTTGGATATGTCATAAAAAACATCTTGATCAACATTTCTTATGAAGAACACAAAATTCGGTTCAATCTACAACCATGCCTTTTTATCCCTCAAAATCAGACCAAAATCAGTTCGCTCTAACAGACTATTTTGTCCTCAAAATACATTTATTTCAACACCCAAATCACCTTGAAAAGCTTTGAAATTGTTATATGTTATAGCCACAAATGTCCCCAACAGGTTTTGTGAAGGAAGTGTTTCGAGAATAGGCCTGGAAAAAAATTTATAAAAATTCGAACAGACCCGAAGGTCGGGTGAACAGTAAATCGGGCAGTTTTATTTCGGTCCAAAAATGGACTTCCGAATGGCATCAAATGATTTCCAAAAATTCCCAAATTAATATATGTTATACTTCAAAATGTTGGAAACAACTTTCATGAAGAAAACTTCCTCAAATTCGACCCTCAAAATTTTCTACAAAAATAGCAAACCGGGTGGGTACAGTAACCGCGAATCCGCGATTCACCCCGAACCTCACGGATTCAAACCCGAACCGATTTCTACCGAATTCCAACAGCCAAAACTCATTTTCCGACGTCTAATCCAACCCGCAACAACCACTAACAGTCATACTCAGCCACCAATAGCCATGATTAACCACCAATAATCATGATCAATACCTTAATCACCCTCTAAATCCTCTAAACCATACCCGAACGAGTCCGAAAATACCCGACGTCCTAAATAGGGATTAGATCTTGACTTACCCGAACTCTAGACTAACTCGGCTAGAGCGGCAAGGGGGAACGGCTGGCCGGCGGCGATCGGCGGTGGCAGCTTGCTCCGGCGATGCTCCGGCGATGATCGGCGGTCCAAGGCCGAGAGAGAGATGAGAGGATTTTTTGTGAGGGAGAGAGGGAGAGAGTTCTCTGTTGGGGGGGGGGGGGGTTTGCCGTGAGAAGTGAGGGAATGAGGAGAGAGAGAGAGGAGAGAAACAATTAAATATTTGGTCCAAGGTTTGACCAATTTTTTTCTTAATTCCAATTTTGCCCCTAAAACACTTGGTCCACATTCTTCCAAACCAAAATATCTAAGGGCGTTTTTGTCCAATATTTTGGGGCTGATATTTATCCACACTTAATCCCCAAATTCAATTTCCAAAATCCCCAAAATTCGGAATACCCAAAAATAGGCCTAGGGGCAAAATCGTAATTTTCCGATCCCGGGGCGAAATTCCAATTTTCGCACATACGTGTTCCGTATGTGCGTGGCCAACATAATATGGCGTCATAATCGCGAAATTCACTTTCTAAGTCCTCGAAAATCGATTGCGAAGTTCCGGGAATAAAATAATATTATTTTTCCAATTTTTGTCGAAATTCCAATTTTTGTCCAAAACGACTCCTAGTATGCGTGGCCACCCAAAAATGGCGTCGACCTCGAAAAATAACCTCAAACGGCCTCAAAATCCAACACCGGCGCCCACAGGGGCAAAATTGTAATTTTTCAGTCCCGGGCCGAATTTCCATTTTTCGACCATACCAACCCCAAATATCATTGGCCACACTAAAATGACATCACCCTCGTAAAAATAGTCGCGCACGACCCTGAAAATCGACATCCAAGTCCGGATCCAATTTCACGATCAAAATCGCCCAATTTCAATTTTAGGGTCTCTCACTAACGGGCGGCTGTTTAGGGATTACGCGTATCGACCTAGGGTTATTCGAGTCATGGCGACCTCGATCGTCACCGAAGGTCGACTCATGATCGAGTTCTTAGGTCCACGTACATTTCCCTAGGTAGCCATTCCCTAAAGGTTAGTATCCCGAGAATGATCAGTTCCGGGCGAGACTTACTAAAATGAAATGAGAAATAACATCTATTTCATTGATTCCGGAAATAGGTCGAAATTCAGGATGTTACACTTGGCCATTAAGATAATGAGCAACTACTTGTCAAGATAACAAAAAATAATTTCATAATGCATGCACAGGTAGCTATTATTCCAGATGACCAGACGTAGGGGAAGTGGAAAATCGAATCCCTTGTGTTGCTTTGTGATTTTTTATGCTCGATGAGTCGACTTCAACAGCACCAACATAGTTTTAAAAGAATAAATAATAGAAGAAGAAATAAACTACACAAATCTAGCTAATTTGATGAAATATGTAGGCAAAAGGAATATTATCCACGTGTTTCATGATTTTCTCCGTAACAAAAATGACCTACTAAGAAAAGCAGAAATAAACAAACAAATATAAATTTGAAAACTCACATAAAATGGATAAACTACAAATCCGATTTATCATAGGAACTCAACTCAAAAAAGGAAAATTTGGTCATGGTGGGAAAACAAAGATTCCCTTTTATAGTGAGTACTTGTTGGCTTTTGAATATCTAATGATATTCAGAGTAATTTGAGAATTTCTGTTGTGGGATATGACATATTTTTACCGGAAGAAATTTCCATCCATACAGGAAATAGCTTCTTGAATGGTAAAGATAGTAAAGACTACAAAAACAAAACATTATTTGTAATGGGGAAAATGACATTAATAGTCCCCTAAATTTTGGCTCTATGTGTGACATCATGGGTGACTCACTTGAGGTATTGTCCGCTTTGGTTTGTCCTTTACCAAGTCTCATGGTTTTGTCCTTTGGCGTACAGGATGACACTTTCCCAATAAGTCACTCATTCTGGTAGTACTCCTATATGAACACGTTTAACTTTAAAGTTCTAAAGCTGAGCATCGCCGTTACATCAAGAGGTCAAAACAAGTTTACACACACATACATATATCCTAGGCACGTTCTCCTCCTGTTCAATGTGTAATTTGGTTTATTTTGCCTAATTCGCTATCTAAGAAACCTATTAGGAGCTGCTCCTTATCTAAACTCTCTAGACCCGACAGCCACTCTCCGCCCTCGCCGGACCCGGTTGTTACAGACTCACCAGATTTCGCATGGTTCGACCTCGAACCACACATCTATTGGAGGGGTCCCGCTCTAATACCAGATTGTGACATATTGGATTAACTCACTTGAGGTATTGTCTACTTTGCCCCATCTCATGCCAAGCCTCATGAATTTGTCCTTTGGCATACAAGATGGCACTTTTCCAAGAGATTACTCATCTTGATAGTGCTCGCACCTGACGGTGCTTAACTTTGGAGTTCCAAGTTAAGCATTATTGTTACGTTAAAAGATATCTCCATAAGTTTATTCTAGTTTTCAAATATATATCCCAGGCATGCTCTCCCTTGTTCGGTGTGCAATTCAGTTCATTTATGCCCACTTCACCATCCTTGAAGACTGCCATGAGCTGCTCCTTGTTTGAGTTCTCTACCGTTGGTGACCACTCCCACCTTCGTCGGACTGGGTCGTTATACTATGTGCAATGTCATTCTTGATCCCATACATCTCATCCAATAAAATGGTTAATCACTTGATTGAATATAACATCAAGCATGACGTCAGCACCACTATGGTCAATTATAAATACAGGCGTATATATACCACATCATCGATTGCACCAGTAGTGGATATCATCACAACAATTTCAATTGCAAGTCACGTCTATCAATACTTAGATCCGATACATCTCATCCAACAATTGCCGATATCATCATTTGCGGTTAACTTTCTTTATTAGCCTTCTTGAAGAAGGAAGATAATAGAATGAGCAATGTACTCCTTTTACTGAACCATCCCAAAAGCTTGCGACGTCGATCTCTCTTCAACCTATGAAAATCAATGTTCTTTAAGCCAAAATATATACGTAGTACTGAAGCTTAAAAGCATAGCATACCCAATCATTGAATTTTATAAGATTTCGGCGAGCTTTATAATGTTTCAAGCACTCTCATCTTTTGTATTTGCTTTTCAGTAGACGTAGATTTCCCATAACTAATCTGATCCATGTGCTATAATTTTGATGTGCTACTCTCCATGCTTTTCTCCTAATTTTTATGATGTCAAAGATAAAAATAAAAACATTAATTAAATCCCCCAGGATGTTTACATGTAAAGATATGCTCTCAATAAGTAAACAAGATGGCAAATCACTTCTTCGAGAAAAAGGTCCGTAAACAGATCGATATTTTATTAAAACAATTTTGAAACAAAATACAATCCTAGAACTTGCTTTCAAACACTGAAAATCATACACAAGACATTACCGGCAACAGATCAAGCTAGTTGATATTGTGGCTTACTGTGTTCCTATTCCAATCCGACATTCTTATGGCCGACACACAAACATTTTGTCGTTACTCTATCTCCTCTATTATGCCGTTCTCCGAGCCCTTCTTCCAAATAATTGAGTGTAACCGCAGCATGCTGAGAAGCTCTGTGATAACTTTGAAGTCGTCGGGCCATTTCAAGCAATTTGTGTGAGTCAACTACCTCAAGATCTTCAGGTGATTTATGATTCTTAGTGATGACCGTAATTTCCAGCACAGATGCATGTCCAAGTAGAAACTTTACCAGCATGAACACTTCGTCATATTTGAATCTTAAACAAGCATAAAATCCAAAAATCTCAACATTCTTGAGATGGCAAGAGGAACGCTTGAACTTCTTCTTTCAATTCCAATAGCTCTTGTGATCAACATTGCGGGAGTCCAAGTGAGAATTATACCGCACACGGATTAAAGACAAAGTGAACGTTCCAACTAAACCACAATTTAGTGTTTTAATTACCCGTAAGAATAATCATCCCTTGTCAAACAGTAATCAGATTAGAGGAGATCATAACAAGAGATACCGAGAATTTAGGCACTCGAGTTCAACAGTGCAAGTGCAATCTTTCCACTGTCACTATCACAGTGGCCTTCACAAAAGAAAAACAAACAAAGAAAAACAAGAATCCATGAGACTGTCGTGAAACTTCCGGAGCACTATAGAGGGAGCATTTGAATCATAGGCAGTGACGGTCATGAAACTTCCAGGGGATTATACTAGTTTCACTAATTAATGGACTAAAAAAGACAAGGGACAGGAGAACCTTCGGATGGTACATTCCGGTTAATCCTTTGAAATATCTAAACATGTGAATTAGAGTTTATATACCCAGGAAGTGTCCCACTCAGATAGCTCAAATTTTATGACAAGCTTCTCCAAATTTGGTGTAGTTGCTAGCATATTTGCTATAGCAGGAAAGCTGAAATCCCGAATGGGCACATGTAGCGTCAGAGACTTGCAATTCGGCAGCCAATCCTGCACATCTTCTACCTTCAAAGGCGACATAATCTAACCACATCAAAAGCTAAAGTCAGTACCAAAAAAATATTTGCGGAGGGTCACATGCTTGTATTTGTTACATTAGAAAAGTACAATTGGAATGATAGCATATAGATTAAACTTCTCTAAAGTACATCACAAACCAATACTTCTTGTGTCATAGAATATCCATCGGTGTAACCCTAAATATCCGGGATCTTTGCAGAATAACGTCCACTATCCTAAGTTAAAAACTACTTGGAAAAGAAAATGTCCACTAGGAAGCAAGATGATATGCTCACCCGAACGCACCAAGCACCAAAAAGAATTCGAGTAGCATTTTGCAGCTTGCAAAGCAATTCTTTTAGCAGGTGACAATCTGATTTGTCTCCGCCGTCGAAATTTAATTCGGCTTCAACTAAGGATGGTGCTTCGATAATTCTTATTGACTTCCAAAAATAAGCACTACTCACACGCAATGACAGCAAACAAGGAGTCGAAATCTCCAAAGTGTACTGCACCCAACCACCATCAATCACCAACTCTCTCAAACTTCTCGATTGAATTCCTTTTACGCTCCTGCAATCTATCAAATTCAAGCGTTCGCCCATCAAAATCTTCCGAAGCACATCATCACTCACGTTTTGAATGGACAAGGACTTAAGCGAACTCCAACTAATACTATCACTAGATGAGAAACGACAGCCTCTCAAACATAGCTTAGTCAACTTAGAGCAATTAGTAAGCAATGGAGACAATTTGCAATCCTTCCGCCAAAAATTCCACCACGAAATATTCAAGTTGAGAAGAAGGTCTTCCACTTGATGATCAATCGCAAAGTGAACCCATGAGTCAACGATAGGGTGGTAGTAGTCCTGCTTTATGTCAAGATGGAATATTTTCACCTTACGCCCCACATATAGCGTCAAAACCCTGTCCACAAACGTATCATCGTAAGAAGAGACGGAGAACCTGAGATCCGAGATATTGGTCCAAACAGATTGCCACCTTTTCGACAAAACACAAGTTTTGACGGCGTCCCTCGTGGGCAAAGAGGAGAAGATGTGATGGATGAGGCAATCGGGTAAGAGACTCATGTAATCCTCATAATCTTTTCGGTCTGCAGTCCATGTCAAGGTACCTGCCATGGCTCAAGAATGGATTCTACGGTTTCTCTTTTTCTTTATTCGGTGAAGCAAGGACTTTTGTGTGATCTCTCTAATTGTTGAGATTGCTTCCTTAGGTTATTTGGATCAGGCTCGTTGTTTCGTACCGGAAGTTCAGAGTTCTCTGCCATACTTAATCTGAAAATTCTTTTATCTTTCCAAATCTCCCCAAAAAAGGAAATATAATTTTATGCATCGGACTCTACATGACTAAATATACTCAATTTTCACTACACAGATATAATCGTCTTTGATGGTTTCCAAATTTGAACAGTTTCCTTCTATTTAGTTATTTAAGTGAATAGTATTCAAACATTAAGTAATTTATAAAGGATTCAACTTCAACTTTTAAAATAGTGGATATTGTTCTCTTGTCAAAAAGAAATATTGATGGATTTTGCTCCGAAATTAAGAAAAAAATTTAACAACTGAAAAAAATAGGAAAATGAATATCGAGTATAAAATTCCAATTATTTTAGGATTTTGTACTTAATTAACACATTTAAGGGTGGAAAAGGGTTTATTCGTCGCTGTCTCTTGATTGCAAAAAAGTAAGAGGTGTTGGTGTCGAATTTTAGTTCGTATCTATCAATGTATAATTTAAACATACAATGCTTAATTTTTTTCTTCTAATCTAGTACTGGCGGATGGAGTTTGTGTTGAAAGAAGCTTAACTGATGAATAATTAGGGAAAAGTGCCAAAAAAGTCCTAAACCTTTTTCATTTGTGCCAATTTAGTCTTAAACCTTTTGCATTGGTGCCAATTTAATCCTAAACCTTTTTTTGATGTCAATTCAGTCCTAAACCTTTTACATTTATGTCAATTCAGTCCTTCTAGTTAATTTTGCTCAGAAAATTCCTACGTGGATACCCAGTCAGCGCCGGCCGTCCTACGTGGCCGGACCGGCGCTGATGTGGACGCCGGGAAATAAAATGGCGTCGTTTTGTTTCAGTTTAAAAAAAAAAAAACCAGAAACCTTCGATTAAGAATGGCGTCGTCAAAAAAGCCTCTTGCGTTCTTCCTTTCCCCAAATCAAGCAACCTTCAACGTGATCTAACCCAGGAAGAAGAACCCTAACTCCTATCTGCCCAAATCAATTCGATCTCAACTTGAATCGAAGGATTTTGCTCAAGCCGACGGTCACTTGACGATCGCCTGTCGCTCGACTGACACCTTCTCCTACATTCATTGAAAAATCACCCGACGTTCTGAGGTAAAGTTCATAAGATGATTTGAATTCTATTAGCCAGCTGTTGTTGATAATCAACATGATTGATGTCATGCAATGAATTGTTTTTTCTTTCACGAACGGAACAAGTATTTACAAGAACCTCAAAATTTCAGGTTCTGCAGCTATGTTTGCCGATTTTGAACACTTCTATAGCTGTTTCTGTCAGTTGAATTGTTGATAAATCAAGAAAAAGTTGTCTTTTCATTCGAAATGGTTGACAATGCTTGTTCACACCATTCAACGATAGTTTAGGTGGCCATTAACCTTCGATGGAGAGAAAGCTGTTGTGCAGGTTCAGTCTAAATTGCCAGCCTCTTCTATTTTCCTTTAGCTCTCTTGATATTGCATCTTTGTTGGTTGGACTGTATTACTTGTGTCACTTTTGTGTGCATTCCTTTTCAGCTAATGACCTATTGAGATCTCTGTCATGCATTGCAAGCATCAGAAAAAGCAGAACATGAAGAATATTTTCTTGGGTATATGTGATGAAATGTGAGAACATCATACTGGATAATAATTCGAAAAATTGTGATCGAGTTTCTTGAGGAGAACAATGTTAAAAGGTCTAATTAGCATTCCGTGTAGGCAAAATTATAGATCCTCTCCACTGTCGAGTGATGGAAGTCCAGTCACATTGTGGGTTATTTCGGCTTTTAAAAAGGCTAATAATCTTTCCTCCATGTCTTTAATTTTTTGCAAACCATTGTAGGTTATGTGATTCACTAGTTTCTCTATCAATAAAATTTGGCTATAGTTTCTACTCATGCTTGTGTGACTATTGGAAGTGTCCTATAACTGACATTAAGGTGTCATTGCAAGAGGAGATCAGTGAATTCATGAAGAGATCATCAAATTCGTCACAATCGGTGACGTCGGTCCCTCCAATTGACAACAATATGTATGTATTTTGTCATTGTGGCCTGAAATCTCCTCTACGAACAGCTAGGACAAAGGACAATTGGGGAAGAAGATATCACGGCTGCCCAAGATACAACCCGAACAACAGAGGGGAAAGTTGTGATTTTTTCATTTGGGTTGATGCGGAAATCAATCGATCAGCAAGGAGTGTGTCCAAAAATTTTCACTAGAGCAATGTCGAAGAAGAACTGGTGTCAACCCATGACAAGGATGATGGCAGTTCAATGGACACTGAAATCAGACACTGAAATCAAAGCTCTCAAGGCACAACTAAGACGAGTGGAAAAAGATGCGGCAAAGCTGAAGAAAGAAAATTTCAAATGGAAGACAATTTCGGTTGTGTTGTCGCTGTGTATAGTAATGTTAGCTCGCATGTTATGTGAAAATTTGAAAGTAAAGGACGTGATGAGTTTGCCATAGCATAAGTTATTTTGAACATTTTGTATTCATCGACATGTTTTGTACATGTATGTTTGAACATGCACGTCCACTCAGGTTGTGGGGTCATTGCAAATGGTGTTAGAACATTATGACTTGGCCTTTATGTTTCAAGTGGGGTCATTGCAAATGGTGTTAAAGCATTCTGAATTGATCTTTATGTTTCAAGTGTGGGCCATTGCAAATGGTGTTAAAACATGAACCGTCATGATGTGAAGACTGAGTAGCATGTGCAGTGTGTTGGTAGAGCGGCAGATCAAGTTAGTCAAATTGTGCATTTTTTCCCTTTGTGATAGGTAACTTTTTTGCTGTATTGCTCCAAACCATGAAAATGTGTTAAGACTATTTAGAGTGCGGGGGTGATCATCTATACATTACTAAGTGGCGTCCCCCCCCTTTTGGGATGGTGTGCATCTCTTATTTATCTTTCAATGCTTTCTACTTTGTTCCCTCAAACAATCTGCATATGTAGACCCTTAAAACAGAGACTTTGAAATTATGTGTTGCCTTCTTGTTCAGAAACAAAGCAAAGGATATTTGAGCAGGTATTAAAAGGAGAACTTGACTTTGGATCCATCAAATATGCAAAACATTACTTGGAATGGCAACTTTATATAAGTTCCTGAACCTAGAGCTCAAAGGTCAGTTGTAGTCCCTTTACTTTATCACCGACACCGTCATCATGAAGACGGTAAATGATCTTTAGACACCATCTGCTGCATTCAAATTCCTTCAGCGCAGAAGTTGTATTTTGAAATGCAGCTACCCCTGAACAGAGTGGAGATTAAGAGAGATAGAAGGCAATGAAATGGCGATGTAATATGATGTTACACTTGTTGATTACATAGAGAAGACGTTTCAGCATCTACACAAGATGCTATTTAGCTCTTCCGCTCATAATTCATAGAGAAGATGTTTCAGCATCTACACTTGTGGATGCTTATAATCAGTAGATTATAAAAAAATAATCTTAATCAGTGGAGTAAGACAACACTTTTCACAATAGCAGATCTAGTTCATCTATTTCTGAATTCTGCCGATGCACGAAGATGTTGCAAAGACCACGGGGCTTCATTACGTACACTCTCTGCGGCAAATTTTGATAGAAAAAAAAATTCTCATCCGATTGGTCTTTTGATGATGAATTCCTCAGTATGATCTCAGGCTAACGAACACAACCAACCAAGTACACCAAGCAGGGAATTATCCAATATGGGTGACTTCTTCTCAAGCCCTGGAGAGAGAGAGAGAGAGAGAGAGAGAGAGAGAGAGAGAGAGAGAGAGAGAGAGAGAGAGAGAGAGAGAGAGAGAGAGAGAGAGAGAGAGAGGTTATGCTGAAGAACCGACATTGTAAAACAACTCAATCTCGAAACTCAAGCTAAACACAACATAAATGGGCTCAGGAAATTCAGAAAATCTGTAGTAAGAAATCACACCAATAATGCTGCGTATAGATAGGCACAAGATTCTCCAGGTCTACAGACGTTTATAACATTCTTTTATAGATGAATAAACTTATCTTCCATAATCTCATTCCAGCTTACCAATATCAGCAGCTACTCGATGAGCGCCAATCACGCTAGAAAAGGCTACTGCAATGACACTTTGTCCTGGAAAGCAGTTGTCTCCCACACAGTCAAGGCTATCTATGCCCTGAAAATTTGCTTAATGATTAGCAATTTCGTGATTCTTAATAACTGGGAATACTAAATTTTGAGGTTCAGCGAAGGCTGACAACAAGTACTTACTGTTGCATTAAAAGGCATTCCCAACAAGCCTTTAGGAACGTAACGTGGCATTGGTCCATAAGTTCCTTCATCACGTGCCAAGTATCTCCGGTGCGTTTTGGGTGTCCCCACCTGGATTTTAGAGAGAAAGCTCTCAAGAGACAGGACACAATATTTACATGAATGTTTCTTTTGTCTCTGTAACCCATCTTTTTTACTTCCATTTTTCCACATCATCTCCTTGACATGATCAGGCTTTAGCTCTCTCTAGGATAGACAAATGCGGTCAGCTGAATCATTTAGAAAATACAACAAAAGTTGCACATTTGCTGTTCCCTCTTTTCCTAATAAACCCAAAATGCTCTCATTGCCATCAGTTTCTTAGCCTTTTGCAATAACTAATGTAAGTTTGACTATAATGATTCCAAGATTTTAGTCCACTCTCTCCTACAGAACTCCGCCGTACTATTATGGTACAGACTGAAGTGATCATGTAAATGGGCAACAACTTACTGACATGCTACTAAAGCAAGCAGAGTCTTGAGGGTATGCTGGCAACGGTATTTTAAAGGAGATCAAATAGGAGTCATACCATTGACTTTGGTAAGAGGATCTGTTTAATGTATGAAATGCTCTGCCACTTTCACAATGACTACTTGTTTAAGGAGAATATCTTATCAAACCTGTAACAAGCATTCTGTGTCAGCCTAAGACAATCTATCTGTCTTATTTACTGCAATCACATGCCAGAATACCCAATGATGGCACGGGAGGTCTTATAATTTATGCCATATTTATATATTTCTGACATATTTTCTGCATCTTTGTGATGACTATCATCCAAATGAGGACGTAAAGAAATGAATTTTCCGAATGACAGTAAATAAAAACATGAATATCGCCCAAACCTCCATAAAGGCAATGGAAGATTTGAGTCCTGGAAATAGCTTCTTCTCTAATCTTCTTATGATTTCATCAGCCACAAATTGCTTCTTTTCCTCGTATTCTTTTTGAGGGAGTCCCTTAAATGATTAGAAAACAGCTTGTTTCCACTTATTGTTGCCACCAAATGAAACCCACTTTGAGGCATTTTGGTTATATCTTCCTGGCCAAAAGCTCACCAACCTATGTCACTCACACCAAATAATAAAGAAAAAAGTTGCAGTAGGAACCACATAATTAGTGTCACGCCCCGAACCCCCGTCGAGCCCGCGACATCCCACCTCCGGTCGAACAGAGTGCGACGTCCCAGGAATAACGTCGCCGACCCAACGATCCATCAGAGTTAACTCGCGGCGGAAGCAATCAAAAATCCCGGACATTAAAATTGGAGAACACCAGGAAGGAACAAATCATCAAACCACCAAGCATATATTACACTTCCAAATATTTACATCATCCGCCAATACAAACCACAAAATAATTTATAAGCACACCGAACTATAAACTCCAAACCACCAAAATATCAGGATCAGCTCTCTAGGTCAGCACTATCCAAAAATGGGGCGCATCCTCCTCCCAGAACTATCCCCTACGCCCTCTCGAAGGCGTCCACTCTGACTCACTGTCCTCGGCATCACCACCTGAATCCTCCGCAGCTGTCTGCTCACCCGACGACTCCGAGTCGACCTCAATCTCGACATTCAGGCGGGGGCTCTGAAATGGTTTGGTTGAAACAACCATGAGATCACATCTCAATAAGTCACAACCTAAGCCCCACCTAGGCTATCACGTAATTCCAGACACATCCAAACGCGCAACCAAACAACCACACAACCAGCAATCAAACATTCACACATACCTGGACTCTCTGCATACGCACCATGCCCGTTAGCCCACAATCCCAACATACAATTCTTGCACACATGCCATCACACACTTTCCACATATCAATACACACGCCAATCATACCACAGCAGTACATCATAGCCGCGCGCGTGCCTCGATTATAAAGCAAAACCTACTTGGGCACGTCCCATATCATGCCTAGCAGATTTTACCCCATAATCGCGCACTGCATTACGCGATACAAACACACTCGCACACCAACTCACACCACGCGTCACTTTCTCAAACCTCGCACCTCAAGCCAATTCCCGCTCATTCTCAACATTTCCACCACTACTGCGCCCGCGTAAAACGCATCAGGCCAACGGTCTTCTGACCTCGTCAGGCATCGACACCCCGTCGGGCCGGGCATCGTCACCTCGTCAAGGACGGCATCGTCCCGCGTAAACGAACACGCCTCAGGACGGAATCCTACACACACTTTCCTTCTACCGCGCCCGCGTAAAACGCATCAGGCCAACGGTCTTCTGACCACGTCAGGCATCGTCACCCCGTCGGGCCGGGCATCGTCACCTCGTCAGGGACGGCATCGTCCCGCGTAAACGTACACGCCTCAGGACGGACCTCACCCCGCGTAAACGTACACGCCTCAGGGTCTCACTTTTCAAACCAATCCTACATTCCAGTACCTTCGTTCCACTCAAACCACATTTGTCACACGGCCACACCTACACACTGCCAAACACGCACACCTCACACACATTTCACAATTTCACATTCTCGTCACACGAACACGCCACCCAATCACACATTCTTGGCACGCGAATACAATACGCGAATGCACTATCACACCACCACATCTCACGGCCAAGCACACACTGCATATCACCAATCCACATTCAGCCCAAGCATAATCCAAATCAGCCCACGATCACAAATCACACAACCACGTACACAATTCAATTCATAGCATAATTCCCACTGATCGATTGCACAATTCAACCCCAATCCAGTCACAACATCACGGTCCTACCCAAGCTTTCTATACCTCAAATTTTCGTCGCCAAATCAGTCCACAACCACTAAATAACCAGTCTCTCAATTCAGCCCCAAACAGCCCCTAAAACAGTCACAAAATCCCCTAAACCGAACCCTAAACAGTGACCGGAATCCCATCAAAATAAATAGTAAACGAACTCCAAAAATTCTAAATTTTAGATATGTCGTAAAACACATCCCGATAAACATTTATTATGAAGAACACGAAATCCGGTTCAATTTACAACCATTCCTTTTTGTCCCTCAAAATCAGACCAAAATCAGTTCGCTCTAACAGACTATTTTGTCCTCAAAATACATTTATTTCAACACCCAAATCACCTTGAAAAGATTTGAAATTTTTATATGTTATAGCCACAAATGTCCCCAACAGGTTTTGTGAAGGAAGTGTTTTGAAAATAGGCCTGGAAAAATTTATAAAAATTCGAACAGACCCGAAGGTCGGGTGAACAGTAAATCGGGCAGTTTTATTTCGGTCCAAAGATGGACTTCCGAATGGCATCAAATGATTTCCAAAAATTCCCAAATTAATATATGTTATACTTCAAGATGTTGGGAGAAACTTTCATGAAGAAAACTTCCTCAAATTCGGCCCAAAAAATTTTCTACGAAAATAGCAAACCGAGCGGGTACAGTAACCGCGAATCCGCGATTCACCCCGAACCTCACGGATTCAAGCCCGAACCGATTTCTACCGAATTCCAACCGCCAAAACTCATTTCCCGACGTCTAATCCAACCCGCAACAACCACTAACAGTCATACTCAGCCACCAATAGCCATGATTAACCACCAATAACCATGATCAACACCTTAATCAACCTCTAATCACCCCAAACCGCACCCAAACGAGTCCGAAAAATACCCGACGTCCTAGGCGAGGTTTAGGGAGCGACTTACCGGACTCTAGACTAACTCGGCTAGAGCGGGAAGGTGGAACGGCTGGCCGGCGGTCACGGCGGCACACGGCGGCGGCAACGGCGAGCGGCGGCGCTCCGGCTTAGCTTGACTTCTCATGGCCAAATGAAAAAAAAGAAAATGAAGAAGAAGAAGAAGAAGAAGAAGAAGTGTTGGCGTGGGAGGAAGGGGGCTGCCGGCTGGAATGAAAAATGGGGGAGAGAGAATGGGAGGAGAGAGAGAAAGGGCAATAATAACTTTGACCAACTTTTCCCTTAATTCCAATTTTGCCCCTCTAATACTTGGTCCACATTGCTCCAAACCAAAATATCTAAGGGCGTTTTGGTCCAATATTTTGGGGCTGATATTCATCCACAATTAATCTCCAAATTCAATTTCCAAAATCCCCAAAATTCGGAATACCCAAAAATAGGCCTAGGGGCAAAATCGTAATTTTTCGGTCCCGGGTCGAAATTCCATTTTTCGACCGTACCAACTCCAAATGTGTGTGGCCAACATAATATGGCGTCGGAATCGCGAAATTAGATTCTTAAGCCCTCGAAAATCGACTGCAAAGTCCTGGGAATAAAATAATATTATTTTTCCAATTTTTGTCGAAATTCTAATTTTTGACCGTAACCACTCCAAATATGCGTGGCCACCCTAAAATGACCTTGGCCTCGAAAAATAACCTCAAACGACCTCAAAATCCAACATCGGTGTCCACAGGGGCAAAACCGTAATTTTTCCGGCCCCGGACCGAAATCTATTTTTTTGCAGAAATGGGTGGCCCCAAGGTTGGCCAAGCCGAAAACGTCATTGGCCGCTCAAAATTGTCACTTTCAAAATTCTCGATTCCCGGGCCCGAATTCCAAGAAATGACTAAAATTGACCAATCGCGACTTTAGCTTATCTCTTGCTAACGGGTGGCTCATTAGGATTACGCGCTCTCGGCCCGTGACCGACACTAAGTCAAATCACGTTTAAGTTTGCTCGAACCAAGGCGACCTCGATCGTCATATAATTGCGAGGGTTTGTCACTAGTGCCCTTCGGACACGATCAATCAAATAGACCGGTCTCGGTTGGCTCAAAACATTCCCTCGTCAATCCATATAGTCGAAGATCGAACCCAGATCGAGTTCTTTGGTCGTGCGAACTCAATCCCGTAATAGCCCTACCCCTAAGATTAGCATCCCGAGAATGCGCGGTTCCCGGGTGAGATCTCACTATAGCGCATTGGTCAAATTCATTTCCTAAATCCCGGGAAAAAGGATCGAAAATTCATATTGTTACAATTAGTCTAGCAGAAGCAGCAAACTTCACTTATTCCAACAACAATTAGTCCTCCTGCCTAAACCAAATTCTCCAATTCGCATATAAATCCTTACCAACAATAGATGAGCTTAACCTCATCTTCTTAATATAAGCAGCTATTTGATCAACTTCATTAATGGGATCAGCGTGCAAAACAGAGTTTCTTTCCTTCCAAATGCAGTAAATGGCACCATTTTAAGCCAACTTCAGAATTCTTTTGCAAAGGAAATTGCCTTTTAGAAATTCCATAGCCCAAGTAAACTGAGAATTTCAGTTCCCAGTAGCTTTTCACACACCACAAAGGTCAAGCAGTGAAGACCGCACAACACTTAGACAAGGAGTCAATCAATGTACTATACATCATCGACGAACAAAAAACAACCATGACACTACTTCAATGAACCAGCACATTATTGACAAACAAAAAAATAGCCACAACAGTACTTCTTAATCCTATCACTTCTTGTAAATTGGAGTTACTTCCTCTCTTTTTTTCCTTCTTTCTTGATGGGTCTGCTTTAAATGGAACTTCAGTTGTAGCTGCTTGTGATGTTGATTCAACCTGTGCTTGTATAGAAACGCTGTCTTTTTCCCTGTGTGGCACTTGTACTCTTAATCTAACATTATTTGTTTCATTAGTCAACGGAATTTTGCTAAATAAAACGAAAGTGCTAACAAAAATATTACTTACATGCCCATGAGATATTGCTGTCCCAGGAGCAGCAGTAGCAATTGGTGTTCCACCAACACTTCCACTTGCACCTTCGCCAATACGTCACTTAACCTGGAAAGAGTAATATTTATTTAAAGTATTATTCATGAAGCAAGCATGACACAATAGATATGAAAGTACTTACCAAAAGTTTTTGCCCGGACAATGGTGTTTGTGATGCCGTAGTGCTATCCTTCTTAGTTGGACATGTCAAAATGTTGTGCCCCGTCTTTGAGCAATTTCGACAGGTCATCTTCATTCCTCTCCTCGACATCCTAATACCACGCGCGACCTCAACTTCCTCCCTTCTTCTTTTATGTCTGCGCCTACCAAGCTTCACCTTGACTGGAAGTGGTTCGGGTGCCTCATTGTAAATTTTTTTCAAAATTTCTCTCCTCGAACTGGCATCATCATATTCTAATATGTAGCTAAGAACTTTGCTTTCTTGTAACACTCATCCACATAATCATATGGATCATGTTGCCTATAATTTATAGCTGAAATGGCATGGAGACAAGGGATGCCAGTAAGTTGCCACCTCCTGCAAGTACAGTCTTTCTTTTACACATCAACGACGTACTTAACACCCTTATCCATCACCTCGTATCTAGCATCACCATTTCATAACACATAGCAGTAAATCGCACCAAGTCTATTTTCTTCCAACTTTTTTATGATTCTTGGACCACAATCCCTTCTCCATCGAGCACATGCATCCCTTTGTGTATGCATTCTTGTCATTATCATTATCCTCATCTCCTCCAACATACTATAAATAGACTTACACCTGGCTTCTATGATTCTTCCGTTGAATGCCTCACATAAGTTGTTGTCAACTATGTCACATTTAACCTCAGTATTGAAGAAAGTCCTGCTCCAGTGCTTTCGTTCTGTTTGAACCAAGTCATGATATGCGGCAGGACTGATTTTCTTCAATGCTTGAGTGTGTTCGTCATACTCCACCATGGTACTACTCTTAGCATACTGCCAAAATAATCTTTGCATTTGTATCCCCTTATACTTGTGGCCCCAATTAGCATAGATGTGTCTGGCACACATTATATGCTTAGCTGCAGGCAACAAGTGAGCCACGGCTTGTAGAAGGCCCTACATAAGATTATTTCAATGTAAACAACATAATTTTGGTGTGATCATTTAAAAGGCATAACACTAAAAAAAAGGAAATAAGGAACTTACCTTTTGCTTGTCACTAATTATAACCCAGCCTCATCCGTACGTGTCTATTATGTTGAGGTCATGCATCAAACTTGTCAAAAACCAAGTCCATGTGTCTCCACTCTCAACTCTCACAACTGCCCATGCAATTGGGAACATCTAGTCGTTTGCATCCCTTCCAACGGCACACAATATCTGCCCTTTACAAATTCCCTTTAAAAAACAACAATCTAACCCCACAACTTTCCTACATCCATCTAGAAAGCCTTTCTTACATGCAACAAAACAGATATACATTCTGTCAAATAATACCATCGAATGCATGTCAGGCTTTTCAACCTTCAATGTCACAGTACTCCCAGGATTTGAAACCCTGAGCTCCTCTGCGTAATCCCATAACTTTGAATATTCTTTCTTATAGTTTCCCATCAAAACTTTAAAGGCACGCAGCTTCGCTTTCTTACACTGATCTATACTTACATTTAAGCTCAATTATTCCTTGATAAGATCCTTGAAAGCAATGGTTTTTGTAGTTGGCACTGCTCTAATTATACTATGATAGTGCTCCGCCATCTAAGAACTTGTGACCCTTTTATTGTTGAAGCTAACGTTACAAATATATTCTTCATGGTAGGTCTTCACGTGGGATGATCCAGTTCTAACATCAAAAGATGCAGAAATCTTCCAAGGACAATTTTCATGAGCACACTTTACTCTAACAAATTTCTTTTCATTCTTGATAAATTTTATCTCTCTACGTCAACCATTGAATACTTTATGACAGCATCTTTGAATTGCCTACCATCCTCAAACATCATAGACGTAGTAAACATAGGCACTATAGAATCAGAATCGTATCTTGGATACCTACTTTTCCTTCTTGTAACTTCATCATCTTCTGGCCCCACATCAGATCCCAAGCTATCATCTCCATCTGTTTCATAGTAATCAGTTTGGTAACCAGCTTCGGCGATGACCATGTCAGATCCTTGGGGATTAGATGAGCCTCCTATAGATTGTTGGGATGATATAAAATCCGCAACTGGTTCCCCTATAATCCCATCCTTTGTAGCCCTTCTGTGGAATTTCTCAAGTTTCTTCCTTCCCTCTACAAGGTCCTCATTATCCCTCTCATCATCATCATCAGTCAAGAATTGTGCATTGACTAAATCCGTGTCTTCGTTTTCTTAATCGACGTCGACCATAAATTCATCACTCTCAGTCAGCATAATCACCCTCATCTACTAAGTAATCATAATCTAAACCACTCTCATGCTGAACAAATTGCTCATTGCCTAAACCAACACCCTCACCAATGCACTCACCCTGACAAACACCCTCACCAGCACTCTCACCATTGCCTTCACCCTGACCAGCAGCCTCACCTACCATATTGTCAAAAGATTCTCCATATACCTCAACCAATCCATGCTGCAAATGATAGAAAACTAGATCGACAAAAGTACTATCATTCCATATATATCTCAACCCATCTTCTAGAGGTTTCCCAAGAAACTTAAAATAAGGTTTTTTCGAATTTACCATTTACACCTTTTTCAATGTCTGTGATGAACCTCTCATAGCTCTTCGAATCGTTATTAACGTGTACTAAATCCATCTTTCCCCCAATGTATTCAAGCATTGGGCGATGAACAAATTTTCCACCGTGATAAAGGCAAACCAATGCAGACTTCTTGCTCTTCTTGACCCTACACAAAAGACAACATATATTATAAGCATATGCAAACACATAATGGAGCGACCATATAATAGGTTACTTCATGGCTTTTTGGCTATGAAGAAGAGCCAAACAGAGCAATGTGACTACATCTTAGAAATTTAAGTTCTCAGTTCAATCGGTGTTCGTGGTCAAATACTGCATCTACCAAGTATGAGTATCCTTAATCTAATTTGGCTAATCGAGTCTAAGAAACGTGGTTGAGGCTCATGTGAA